CTTTTACAATTTCAAATGTTGACTAAAAAATCCATCCTACTTTCTAAACTCCTACTTTATGATCGACAACATAATTTCTAAAGTACTTTAACTATCGTTAATGAGCGTTAATCATTCAATTTTATAAATAGAATATTTAGAAAGTAATAGCAATCGGATACTAATATAATGTAAATGTTCAATCAAAGGATACATTGTAACATTTCTTGTATTCCAAGTGTTGCCAATTCGCCGTGGGATGAGTAACACCCAACAAATTCTTTACGAAGATCGTGAAAGACATTGTAATGGGTTGGCAGTTCGATATCCTTGTTGCAAGCTTCAGGATGCAAACATTGTCTCATCGGTGATTGTCCGTCAACAACGAATCGAGGATCACCTCCACCGGTCACACAAGACATCGATGACCACCATCCTTCGAACTTAAAACAGAAAGATCAAATATAATTAACTATAGGTTTCTAAGAAATTTTGAAGTTTTTTTATTTTTTTTAATTATTACTAGATTTTTAAATTATTCATTTATTTTTTATCGTTCATGTTATTAGTCAATTAACTTCACAATGGACTCTATTTCAAAATTGTTTGCCTGAACGAGCTAATCGATCTTTGATCTTTATTAAAATTTGTTTTCTAAAACAATTTTTTATTAATATATAAAAGAGAAAGAGAAAGAGAGAAAGAAAGAAAGAGAGAGAGAGAGAGAGAGAGAGAGAGGAGAGAGAGAAAGAGAGAGAGAGAGAGAGAGAGAGAGAGGGGAAAAATATTATATTTAAAAGTGCATAAATTATTTGTTAATATTTTCATTATACATGTACACGATGATGTATATAATATAATAAATACTTTTTAATAGGAACATTGATTAAATCAAATTTATATCGAGTAAATTATAATTATAATGTAAGATTCTATTTATATAATGACTTATTATCTTTTTAATTATATATTTGTCTATTCGTTTGACTAATAAATAAACTAGATTAACGTGAGAATTTAATGTAAATAAATTAAAATTTACCTGTTCTATAGCTTGCTCTAAAGGAATTCCGAGTTCTCGAAGGGTACGTTCAGTCAAAGCTGGGGCATGTGCTAACGCTGACTCGCTAATGATTCCGCTACTTCCGGCGACTGCTGGATTGTCACTACCGCTTCCCGGTGTACAACCATCGTCCATTACCATTGGACGAACTATATATTGTTGTCTGCCCAACACCTAAAACAAAATCAATTATTCATTCGAAAGTTATTTGCTTCTTCTTCTTTTCTTTCTTCTTCTTTTTTTTTTCTTTTTTTTTTTTTTAATTTCTTGTTTCATTTGTTTTTTATTTCCTATTTTTTTTTTCTTTCTATTCTTCTTCAGAATTTCGATTGTTCCAACTTGTTATCAATTTTATATCATATCACTTTTATACCTGATGAATTAATTTTACGTAATGTCATTATCTTTTGTATCATACGAAGAAGTAAATATCTTGGGTGCATGATAAAAAAAACGTTATCATTATGTTGTCGTAACGAAAATAATCGATCAACGTGATGTTGAACTTGTTAATAATAATTGTTCTTTCTAAAGATTTTCTTAAATATCACGAATGCACTTTAATCGTAGAACTTTTGATATTGTTTGATGATAATAATGATAATAATGATAATAATGATAATAATGATAATAATAACAATAATAACAATAATAACAATAATAATAATAACAATAATAATAATAATAATAATAATAATAATAATAATAATAATAATAATAATAATAATAATAATAATAATAATAATAATAATAATAATAATAATAATAATAATAATTTATCTCGCTCAAATGATATTTTATTTTCCTTGTTAACGCTCGCCAAAATGAAAGATACGCACGAATGAAACGAAATGCGTGCGTGAGTTAAAAACTCACTCCAACGAGATGTCTATCAGCGGTGTTTATGTGGTTGCATCTCGTAGGAGTTAATTGTACGGCATATTGTATACTCTTACATTTAGTCAAGTAGTACGATACTTGCGTTATCATCTTATAAATTTCTTTTGTTTTACAAATCATTTCAATTTCGATTGGCCCGCATTTTATCTGTTTATTTTTATATGCGCACGTGTGCATATACGCCTTTGTCCACATATACGTTAATACTAAATGCTCGATTTTGTGAACGTTGCACCTGCAAGAAGTATGTCATGCGGGTTATCGATTTTTCTTTTACAAAGAAACGAATAACTTTCGCATGGCTATCGAAAATTTCTTCTTTTATTTTCTTTCATTTTTCTTCGTTTTATTTTTTCTTTTTTTTCTCCCCTCCTCACCCACCCACACCTCTCTCCTTTTTAATTCAATTAATACCCATAAAAAAAAAAAAAAAACCATATTAGGTATTCGAAAATGTATGCATGATTTTTGCCGGAGAAATAAATCATCGCGGGAGAACAAATTCGCACGCGATAATTTAGGCATAAACTGTTGTGGGAAATATACCTACCGATTATCAAGAGTAATTAACCGTTCCATCGTTAGTAACTAACTCTATGACGCTAATTGCAGCTCGTAAAGATTGTTCTCCGATAATTCGAGTTTAACGAACACTTTCGGCTATTTCATTATTATTTTCTTTCTTAATTACGATCGTTGTCTTCTTCTTCTTCTTCTTCTTCATCTTCTTCTTCTTTTTCGTCTTCTTCTTCTTCTTCTTCTTCTTCTATTTCTTCATCTTCTTCTTCCTCTCCGTTGTATCTATTCAAAATATATTCTATATTCATCTATATCTAATAACGATTTTGAAATGTTTTTTGCCAGCAGAATAATTAGAAGTTTTATCTATTCATTAGATATAAAGTCTAGACACGTAATGTCTTTACCAACGGAAATGAAACGAGGAACGTTACTTGTTTCTTCTTCCTTTTCTTTTTTTTCTTTTTTTTTTATATTATCATTGAAACCAAGAATGGACTGATTTAAATATATATATATATATATTTTTTTTTCTAGAGTTCCTATATGGGACAAAAGTCCCTAGATGATTTTAAAAATCGATCATACTTTTTCGAAACTTTCTAAACGATTATAGATCAGGTTATCAGTTTGTCAAGTTGAGCTTTTGTAGTTCTGAAAAGAACGAAAAAAGAATCAGCTTAAAAGGTCTAAGAAATTTTGAACGATACTGTATACATTCCATCGTCAAAATATCAAACATTTTTTGAAAAAAGTTCTGGAAAGAAATGGAAATATTTAAACGAGCTCGCATATATGAATACAATAAAAGAAATAAAAAGAAAAGAAAGAGAGAAAAAGAAAAAGAAAAATATTCATTATAATTTGGCGAGTACGAGGTGTCAATTACGTATTTGTTTATCTATTTACTTATATTTATGACATATATTGAAGAATATTGCGTCGATGATATATCAACATTTTTGTTTTCTTCCACATACATATATTAACATCTACGTAAGAAACTTAATAGACAGGTTTTACTAACGCGGGGTTAACGGATCAAGGTAATGCAGTACGATCGTTTCAATCGTCATCTTCTTCATTACTTACGTACTTTTACTTGCAAACGTTATCCTAATGCGTTGTGCTATTTTATTTTTTCTGTTTTTCTTTCTTTTTTCTTTTCCGAGATTTATAAAGATAGCGATTGATTTAATAATTAAAACAAAAAGGAAAAGAAAGTTATATATAAAATATGCATGCGTGTGAATATATCTTCTAATATTAAATATATACTATATTAATATATAATTCTTTTTCATCACAACATATATATATATATGTCTGTGTTAGATAACAGACTGATTATTAAGTTGTATATATGCTATTAAAAAATATTCTACTATTATATTTATTATTATAATTATTTGTAATTATAATAATACTTGTACATTATGTTCGTTGTTGTACATGTAATGTACAACAACGAACATAAATGTCCAAGCACATTTTTCTTTTTCTACAGGATGGAATGGAGTGGGGGAAAGGGCGAGGGTCAAAATTTACTCTAACCGCTTTTAGAAATATTTTCCTAAGTATTAGATAAGAAAGATTTCTTTCTCCGCATATTTCTCGTAAAGGAGATTATATGGATAAAGAAAAAATATTTTTCGTCTTTTGCGTTTTGTCATTCAGAAAGATATTATCAACGAAAACGATCGACGATAAGATCGAAACGTTTTCTAACATTTTCTTTTGAGCGAGTATAAATATCACTTACGTTATAGTAACTAAACGACGAAATTGAACGAAATTTATACATATACGAATAAATTTTTTTATGTACTCGCATGTTTTTATGTACAATATATATATATATATATATATATATATATATATTGAGAATGCCTTGTCATTTTCAACTCATACATAACGTAAACATCTACGTGCATCTAATGTGCTCGAACTTTCGTCACCGATACGTTTCCTTTATCGCGATCGTTCTCGTATCACATTAGAAATGTTAGAATACATTAGAGAAGCAAGAACGAATCCCCTCCAATCTCTCCTTCTCCCTCCCTCCTCCCTATTCCTTCCCACCGAGACCACTCCTCGATCTTTACATTTCCATGTCGCGACATTTATTTTTCCCTTTTTTTTTTATTTTTCTTATCTATAACAGAGAGATCATGAATAAACCATAAAAATGTGGAAAATATTTTGTATCGACTCGTGTATCAGTATGGAAAATTTGTTTACTCGAAATCTTTGAAAAGTAATTTTATTTTCCTGTCATTACTTTAACAATTAATTTAAATAAATAAATAAATAAATAAACAAATAAATAAATTAATTAATTAATAAATAAATGAACGAAAGAATAATTTATTTAAAATTTTTATCACCAATTATGGTCACCTTATTCATAAATATTTAATTTTAAACAAATCTCCAACTAGATAAAAAAAAAAAAAATCGAGTGTATAAATTTTCACATTTTATATTTCTCCATTTTATCTAACGTCATGACTCCATAGAATTCATCCATATTTTATTTCAAAGAAATACATAGAGATAACGCATATATATATATATATATATATATATATATATATGTAATTTCGAAAATGTCTCGATAACACTAAGAATAATTGTATTATAAACAGATGTTACATAAGATATTACATAAGTTTTCGCTGATTCGTTAAAAATTTTTCTCTATATAAAATCCCATAAATAATATTTATATCCCATCATTCCAATAACAATCTAATTCCTGATTATAATTATATTCTAAATAAATATAAACAGAAGTTTGTATTGTATATTCTCGTTACGTAGAACAAAATTTGAAAGCAACAAATACGTCTTCTCAAGGATCTTAAGAACGGCCCTATTTGTTTGCGTCTCATAAAAGTCTCCATAAGTTTAGAGAGTTGCTAGTAAATCTGTACACGTTTGATCGATCCAAAATAAATCGAGTCTCGTCTAAGTTCTCGCGTCCTTATAAATTGCAAATTTCGTCGCCCGTAACGCAATGAAGAAAAAGGAGGGAAAAAAAGAAAAGAGAGAGAGAGAGAGAGAGAGAGAGAGAGAGAGAGAGAGAGAGAGAGAGAGAGAGAAAGAAAGAAGCAGACCGTAGGGTCAAGGGTCAAGGTTCAGGACTCGTACGAACGTTCGGAAGCGCAACAGGTAATACACAACACTTCGTCCAACGAACGAGTAAAAAGAAGAATAATAAAAAAGGAGAAGGAGAAGTAAAAGAAGAATGAGAAGGAACAAGAAGAATAAAGCGAGTAAGATAGAGAGATAGAGAGAAAAAGAAAGAGAGAGAGAGAGAGAAAGAGATAGTTTAAAATGGAAGATTCTAGAGTAGGACGGATACGCGATCGAACGTAAATAATATCTATCGTATATGTAATATTTAGTTATGAAAGAGAGATTAGACTTAAAAACAGAAAGAGAGAGAGAGAGAGGATTATTCTAATAAACCGCTTATTCGTTTCTCGATCTCTTCAGATTAACCTCAAACAATGTAACTTTCGTTATCATTTCATAAAGTACTTTTTATATTATTTTATATATATATATATATATATATATATATATATATATATATATATGTTAATTTTGCACAGGGTGAACCAAAGACGATTTAAAATATTTGTATTATTATTATATTTTTTTATCCCTTTTTTTTTTAACAAATTACTTTCCTTCGAGATGTTTAAGATTTTTAATTCTTTATTTCAAACTATTACAAAGTAGATTTT